GCAACAGCGACAAGAAGGGGAATTCTGATTCAGATGGAGAAGCTGTGCGAGCAGCAGTTGCAAAGGTTTACCGTCGAGCCGGGGCAGAAATGCCAAGCAATGGAAGCCAGTGGGATGGGGTTGGCAACTGAGGATCGGGAGAAGCGCTGAAGAACCCGATGGGGAACTTTTTTGCGCTGGGGGCGCGGGAGGCGGGGGGATTGCGCATGTCGCGACAAAAAGCCACCATTTGGAGTCGAGAAGTAGCGATGACAGAGACGCGCGAGAAGGTCGAGATCAGGGCTCGCGCCGAGAAAACTTTCAGAGGTCAAGACGCTGACCGTGATTGATTGCGTTGAATGCAGACCGTGATGAGAGGGCGTGGTCAGGGATGGTGATTATGGGTGCCTTGGCTGCTTCGAGTTGAGGGCGGGGAGGCCGCTCTGCAGGCGTCGGCGGCCGCTGCCCTTGCTCAGCGACCAGCCGTGGCGACGGCCGCCGCTGTTGGTGATGTCGCCGCGGGGGCATGAGATGGGCGGCCATTCGAGGTTGCGCGCGCTGCCGTCTGCGATGCGCCGATTGTTCTGGCTGCCAGAACCTTCGCTGCAAATGCCGCGATGGCGCGGCGGCCCGTGGAGTCCGAGGCGCCGCGGGAAGAAATCGAGGGCCGCTGAGCTGAGAAGGCGTGAGGAGAGGCGGCGCTCGGAGAGGCCGGCGACGAGGAAGCGCGCGCCAGAGCCAGGGGGGCCAGGGAGAGGAGAGGGGTCGTGCGATTGAGGCAACCGAGAGATTGGGAGAGGAGGCCCATGGCCGAGCAGCCGAGCAGCCGAGGAGCGGGCGCGTTGAATCGCCGCCCCGAGATCTGGCCCAGGGAAAAAAAAGACAGCGGCTGGGGGAAATGGCTGAGGCCGCTGCCGCGCAGGAAGCGGCAGGGGCGATCCCCGTCGATCTGGCGCCGGACGACCGCGAGGCCCTGGAGCGCCCCGGGGGCCGGGCGCTATTCGGAGACGACGAACCGCCGCTCGCAGGCCTGATCTGGGCGCCCCCCGCGAAAAGAGGTGGCTCTGGTGGCTCCAGCGGCGACGGCCCTGGAGACGGGGGCGGCCCCGACCGAGGACCGGGGGGGTGGGGGCTGGCAGCAGTTCAGTCCGTGGAGCCAGATCGGCAGCAACAATTTCTGCCTCAAGTGTGCTATGGGGCACGCAAGTCTGTCGACGAGAAGCCATGCTCTGATTGGTTCTCGTGCATGGTGCCCAACTTACCTGGTGGCTGGCACTCGCGCTGCGATGCGTTCGTAAATCACTGGCAAGGTCTGCGTCAGAGTGCTGTCGGGTCGTGACATCCTCCATTCTGTCGCCTTCCCATTTTCGTCATTTTGTATGGGGTTGTGGACTTGATGTAGCATATCAGTCGAAAAAGGTCCATGTCCTGTTGTCCAGTCCACTTCGTTATGCAGCTGGCGGCGTGACAAACCGCGCGCGAAAGATCGAGCCGAGCCATTCGAGCACCATATAATATATTCATGATGACTCTGGCAGCAATAGGCTGAAGAACTCCCGACGGGGTCGGTGGTTCAGGGTCGACTGGTCCGGGTTCCGCGGCTAAGCCGGGAACCTCGACTGGCTTGTCTGGGGAATCTGTGTCAATTTGAATCCCGAGTGCCGCGGCTGTAGCCTCCTCAGCCGGGGAATATTTTTCCTCTTGGGCCACCTTGTCCATCCTCAAAGTCAATGAACTCGGGGCCAAATGGGGTGCCAGCTACAGGGTCTGTAGCAGGGTCGGTATCGGTTAGCTGTGCGCAGAGTGTTACACAGGATTTAAAAACTGAGTCATGTCGTACTCAAGGGCTCTGACAATTTTCGGCTGTCTAGGTCGATATGGCTCACTCGGTTGCGTCGGTGAGTCACCCGTCGCTTTCTCGTCTTCGCTCTCCGCCTGTTGTCTGGAGGTGGACGTTTTCTTCACCTGTGGCGGTGGGGGATCAAGGACAGTTGGCGACTCATTGCCATTCAACGCACTGCGTATACAAATCATGTTCGCACCCCAAATAACGTCCCACGTTAGTTGGCGGGTCGATCTCGATGCCCTTGGGGCAGCCTTCGGAGGCTTCTTGCAAGAGTCGCCACCCCTTTTCGAGGTTCGCTCTTGGCCCCGAAAGTTTGAAATCGTCAACATAAATGATGGGAAGAAAGCGCAGTTTTGTGGAAGTAGCAACTACGCCAAGGATTACATGTAGTGTAACCTTTTGAAATCACGTGTCCCTCACACTATTGTTCCCAGTATCCACCATAATCAGGACGTCCATGCAGTGAATGAATGAGGGGACATTCGGGGCTTCTCATGTCTTCTCAATCGGGCGGCCACTCGTCTCTTGGCAGGAATATCCATGTGGGGTTCCCCTTAGTTTGGACTGAGTGTAGGCCTGTTTGGCATCAGCCTGTTGGATGTCGTGCCCCTCGAAGAGGCCATGCGTGTTTGCCTCTTTGCTGGCCTGCATCGTGGCCGGGCTGCTAGAAAGTCTTTGAAATAAGGCTACGTCTATTCTGATCGCTAACGTCTGACCCGTCAAACACAACTCGGCCTTAATATTGGCGGTCTTTGTGCCCTTCTGGGAGCTCTGAATTCTTTTCTACCAGAATTGCGAACAGGCGTCCGAAATGGGTTGTTTGCCCTTTTCGTTGTCGAACAACATCGCTGCATGCCATCGCGCCTGGCTCATCCCAAGTGCGAGTGCTTCGTAACCGATCCCATTCGGTTTGCGTTGCTTTACGGGCATCTTGGTTCACCGCAGCTTCGGCCGTAGATACGGATCGAGCCGCGGCTGCAGCCATTCGTGGTTGGCTTAGCGCAGCGGGTAATTGGTGCGCTTGTTCAACAATCCGAATGTCATCAGTAAGCGGGTTGTATACAGATACCGCGTCGAAGCATTCTTTTTTCTCGATGTGAAGGAAGGGGTAATTCTGATGACTGCAATGGCATGTGGGGTACGCTGCGTCGCGAAGCAGCGGCCGCCGGACTCGAGATCAGGCTGTTCCCGTGAATGAGGATTTGTGGGGTGTTAGGTCTTCTCCGACTGTGTCTGCAGGAACCCCATATCGCAGGGTTGTCCCACCATGCCAAGTCTGTTTTCACCAAATTTCTTCATCATCGGAGGTGCCCTGGTCACTCCCTGAGCCTGTATCCGTGGAGAGGTCCTCTGTCTGTCCCGCTGGATGCAGGAGCGCGCGCCAGTCCACGTCGGTGTCATCTGGCACGATCGCATCTCCCCGGATGGACGTTGCCGTCGGGTGCTCGGTACCTTCGCTGCCGTGTCAACCGAGGAATTCCCTTTTCTCAAGTCAAACATAGTTTTTGATGCTTGCTTTCTGGGAAGATAGAGAATTTGGTCGCCTCATGGAGGCATCTACACCTTCATTACGCTCGGAAGGATATAGATCTTCTGTTCGTTCGAGCGTTCCTTCTTGTGATTCCATGCCCTGCGAAGCTAACGGCTGTGCCGTCGTTTCGGCTGATAACCAGTCTTTTGCCTGGACATTCATAATGCCTGTAGTTTGTTCCGATACTATCTCACGGTCAGTGGGCTCCGCCGATGACACGGGGACGAAGAGAGAATGCCGTCAAGCATGCAATAGGGTAGCGCTGAAGGGGGGAGGCCGGCCCGCCCGCCGACGCACGCGCGCGCCGCGGGCTCGCTTCTTCTCCGTTTCCCTAGATCCAAAGTTGTAGCTGCGGGAGAGAAGCATTCAGTACATCGGACAGTGCACGCAAGGCAAAGGAGCAGGAAAGGCAAGAGGATGGTGGTGCGGAAGGGGTGCATTGACTGATGCTGCTGCTGATGTTGGTGATGCTGCAGCGGGAGATGAGACTGATAATGCTGCTGCTGACTAATCACGATGATGATGATGCTGCTGCTGATGATGCTGATGATGCGGGTGATGATGCTGCGGATTACGACGATGACAACGATGATGACGACGGTGACGATGGTGGCGATGATGATGGTGATTATGGGAAAATGATGACAATGAGGCTGCTTCTGATGATGACGATGATGATGGTGATTATGCTGCTGGTCGTGATGGTGAGGATGATCATGATGATGCTGATGATGACGATGATGATGCTGATGATACTTATCATAATTATGATTATGAGGCTGCTGCTGACGATGATGATACTGACTGTGGTTATGATTATGAATACCATTATGACGATCGTGATGGTGATGCTGATGATAAAGATGGTAATGATGCTGATGCTGGTGCTGCTGCTGCTGCTGGCGATGGTGATGCTGATAATGACGATGCTTATGATGGCTTTGCTGATGATTATGTTGGGGATGATGCTGATGACGATGATGTTGCTGTTGCTCATGATGATGCTGCTGATGATGATGATAACGACGATGCTGCTGCTGTTGTTGATGGTGATGGTGATGTTTATGGTGCTGATGTTGATGATGCTGCTGGTGATGCTGCTGATGATGATGATGGTGATGATGATGGTGGTGGTGGTGATAACGATGATGCTGTTGATGATGGTGGGACACATTTTTGTGGAGGTGGTGGTAAAGGTGGTGGTGATGGTTATGAGGGCGGTTATGGTGGTGATGCTTGTGAGAATGATGGTGACGGTGATGGTGAGGATGTTGAAGGTGATTCTGAGGATGTCGATGTTGCTGTTGCTGTTGCGACTGATGATGATGATGCTGCGGAGGAGCAGGAAACGTGCTTGTAGCTGCCTCCGTACCTGCACGCAAACGGGAGTGGTTAGGCTGTGCGTCGGCCGCGGCACTCGAAGCATAGCGTGAGTGCGGATAGCTTCGTGTACCCCGATCTCCTCGTTCCTCCCCTTCCTCGCCCTGCTCCTCGTCAGCTTGTTTTCTCATCCTCTTGACTCTTTCTTTTCCTTCTCCTCCCTCCTCCTCCTCCCCCCTCTTCCTCCTTCCCTCCTCCCTCGTCCCTCCGTAGCCATTTTGGCTCGCGAGCCTGCTCGCCCCTGCTCGCGAGGTGGCTGCGGTCATGGCCGATGCGACGGCGTCGGCGCCCCTCAGCGTGGTTGTTCGGGCTGGCGGCTCGCGCCAGGTGGTGGCGGCCACGGCGGTCGCCCTTTGGCGCGCGGCCCGTGCCGAGGCCGGCAACATGCAGGAGGAGGTGAAGGATGTGGACGCCGAGGTGCAGGCGCGCTTGGAGGCCATCCAGCCCGTCCTGCGCGCGAAGGTCGTGGCGGCGCACGACGAGCCCCCACCCGCCATCGACGGCGGGGTGAAGGCGCTGAGGAACGTGGCGGAGCACTGCCTGTTCGGGGAGGGCGCGGAGGCGCTGCCCAAGGGCGGCAAGGAGGCCAAGCGACGGCGGCGGGGGCGGCGGCGCGGTGCTAAGGACGGCATTGTTGGAGCCGCCTCGCACTCGGAGCTGGAGCTCACTGAGGGCATGAAGCTGATCGGGGTCGTACCGATGGCGGGCGAGGCCGCGGTTCCCGATGCCAGCGACGAGATGGTGGCCGTGAAGGACTTCGACATCCAGGCGGAGGTCGAGGAGAAGAGCCCTGCTGCCCAGCCGCTGACCGTCGACCAGGCCAGAAAGATGGTTCAGGCTGCCGCGCGCGCCGAGCTGAAGCTGGAGTCCCAGCTTGCGGCGGCTCAAGCTACGCATCTGGCCGTCTGTGAGATGGTCTTCGACGCGGGCTTCGAGGCGACGCAGATGTGGGACAATGGCGAGGCTGTCACCGTGGTGGAGTCCTCCGAGGAGCTCGGGGCGTCGCACGTGAAGACGGCCGAGTTTTGAACGCCGTCCCGCGGCACGTCGGGCGTTGGGGCGCGGAGGCTCGTGTTCCTCCTGCGCCCCCGCGCCGCGGAGGCTCGTGTTCCTCCTGCGGCTCTCGCTGCGCTGGGCGCGGAGGCTCGTGTTCCTCCTGCGCCCAACGGCAGCCTCGCGCCGCGGAGGCTCGTGTTCCTCCTGCGGCGCCTGGCCCTGGGGGCGCGGAGGCTCGTGTTCCTCCTGCGCCCCCAGGGGCTGCTGAACGAAGCACGTGCGTAATCCAGGACAGCGTCCGCTATCAAAGAGTCAAAGAGTCCTCTCTCGTCCCTCCCTTCTTCCTCCCTCCTCCCTCCTCCTCTCTCTCTGCCCTCTGCTCTTCACTCCCCCCATTCCTCCCTCCTGCCCTCCCCTCTTTGCTCCTTCCCCTCGCTCTGCTTCCCTTGCCTGGCGCATTCATCTTGTTTTTTTCAGTCCAGCTTCTGTTGAAGCCGGTGCGAAGAGCCGTCATGGCAGCCCAGCGCTTCGCAGTCGCGGCCATCATTTTGAAGAGCCGTGCGTTGTGTTCCGACTTGCAGGGAGGCGCCATGCGCCGCAGTTTCGTAGTTTGTGGCGTGCGGTTCTGGTTGCCATACTCTGAATGTTCTTGCGATGCTTGAACTGCGGGTCAAGCTTTTGACCTGAGATATACCTCGGGTTTCCCTGTTTGCACGGGGTGTGGGCAGTCGGCAGGAGTGCCGCTCTCGACGGTGGCTGTCTTGCCCTGTCCCACTTGACGTGTGCAGGTGATCATGGCCAAAGGGAAGTTCAGCGCAGTCGCCTTTTTCCGTCGCCTCCCTCATCGTCCTTCTCGCTCTCCACGTTGCCATCGTTCTCGTCGTCCGCCGTCCTCTCTCTCCTCGTCGTCGTCATCCTTCCATCCTCCCTCCTCCTTCTCCTCCTCCGCCTCCTCCGCCTTCTCCTCATCCTCCCCACTCTCCTGCTGCTCATCTTCCGTCCTCATTCTCCTGCTCCCTACTGCTCTTCCTCTCTCCGCGTCCTCGTCTTAGAGCTTTTTCGCTGGGCTGCTGAAGCCGTTGATCGCCTGGCACGTCAGGCCTTGTGGCCGATGAGCTCGATAGAGAGCGAATTCGGGAGGGCTGTTCATGCCATCTTCATAGATAAATCCTATCGTCCTCGTGCTCCGAGTCCTGCTGCTGCTCTTTCCCCCCGTCCTCCCTCCGTCAGCACCCTCTCCTCGTGCCGTCGCCTCTGCCTCTCCTCCTCGTCCTCGCCCTCCTCCCGCTGGCTACGCTTGTTCCCCTCCCCTTGTCCTCCTCGTGCTGCTGCTGCTCCTCCCAGCCTTCTGGGATTTTGTCTGGTGCAGGGAGAGGCAGGTAGCAGCCAGACGGCGCCGGCTGGAGGGGAGCTGCGGACCTGAGGCGTCTGGGCTTGGTTCGGCTCCTGCCGCTGCCGCTGCCTCTCCTGCTCCCGCTCATGTTGCTGCTGCTCCTTCTCCCTGCTCCCTGACTGCTCACCGCCTTCTCCGCCTCCACCTCAATGTCCTCCTTTGCCCAGCCGCTATGCGTGCACTGGCGGCCCTCGATCCTCTCGATTTCTCCCTCTCTTGCTTGAACCCCTTTGTGACCTGGTGACCTGGCCTGCTCGCAGGCTGCTTCCTTTTCACCTCCCTCAAAATTTTGCTAACGCTCCGTACGGTCCAGTCGTGTCAGGTGGTTCCTAGGGCATCCGTTGATGATCTGACGCTCCAGTAGGTGAGGGAACAGGCGGGGAAATTCCGAAAGCTCTTGCACGCCGTTTTGCTTTTTGAGGACGACGTGAGCCCACGCGCTTGAGGACATACATCCCCCCCACGGCCTGGGCCGGCCCACCCCGCAACCATCGGGGGAAGCCCGCTGATACCCCCCCCGTTTAGCTCCCCCGAGGCGGCCCGGAGAGGCTAAGAGGGTGCCAAGCCAGGAGGACTCCCAGAGCACTCCCAAGAGGGACCCAAGAGGCCCAAACCATCAAATTCCGAAGGGGAAACGTACATTCTTAGCATGTACGACTTTTCAGCTTTCGCGGCTTTCAAGATGGTCCAAGAGGCCTCCAAGATTTCCCCAAGAAGTTCCCAAGAGGCCCCCGAGCCAGCCCAAGAGGGCGCCAAGACGGCCCAAGAGCCGCCTAAGACGGCCAAGTTGGCCCCAAGACGGCGCCCAAGACGGCCCAAGAAGGCCCCGAGTCGCCCAATACGGCCCAAGATGGCCCCAAAACGGAAGGCTCCCAGGCGTCCCAAGAGGCCTCTAAGAGCACTCCCAGGAGGGCCCAAAGAAGCCACAATCGTTGAATTCCTACGGGGGAAGCGTACATTTTTTTCATATGCGACTTTTCGGCCTCCACGGCTTTGAAGACGGCCCAAGGGCGCGCCGCAGGCCCTCCGAGATCGCCCCGAGACGGCCCCGGATCGTTTTATAATGCTTCTCGGGACCGCCAAAACGGCCCATGACCGATAAAATTGCCCAGAATTGGCCCCAGAGTGTCCAAGAGGCCTCCAAGCCATGAGACTTCCACGAGGCCTCCCCCAGAGGCCGAACTCATGCATTTATCAAAGGTTTTGGGGGGATTTTGGTTTTCCGCCTTCTCAGCCTGCCAAGCTCCAGAGAAGGAACAAGTATTTCTGAAAAGGCAAGAGATATTCTTGAAGAGTATTGAAATACTCGCAAATAAGAAAAGACTTCTAAATCAGAAGGAAGTGTTCTAAAGAAGAGAGACGTATTTCTGGCGAAAGAAGTACTTGTTAAGAAGAGGTAAGTACTCGTGAAAAAAAGTACTTCTGAAGATAAAAGAAGTACGTCTGAATATGAAAGAAATAATCCTGAAACAATGGAAGTATTTCAGACGGAGGAAGAAGTACTTCTGGAAAAGAAGAAATTTCGAGGAATAGTCAGAAAGAAACGTATTTTTGAAGAGAAAAGTACTTCTGAAGAAGAATCAGCCATGATTGGTCCCAATTCAACCAGGACCGGGGCTCAACAGCTGGGACTGTTCCCTGACAGTGGGGCGGAGCTACACACATAGACGTATCCATGCACATACACATGTACATCTAAATTTCCATGTGCATGTATTGTACATGCACGCATCAAGCTATGCATATGTATTTATTTTCAACTTATGTGTATATATATGATATTATGCACATTTACACATACATCCACATACACGTGTACATACATATTTGCATTTACGTGTATGTAGCCATTAATATATCACTTACATGAGCATTTACGTTTACATGAACCTATACACATACATATCCATACGTATACATTTACATGTACATGTACATCTACATATGCATACATATGAATATACACACCCGTGTGTATATACATTTACACGTACATACACAACTATTGCTGCACATTCGTATATTTTCATACAGGCCGATACACATACACATCCAACCTTATATCAATGGCATGTACATGCATACCTACACAGGTGTGCATCTACGTATGCATGTGCACATATATGTATACCTGTATACACATAAGCATGTACATATGCATCTACATGCACACTGCCATGATCATGAACATGCACCTATACATCTACCTTTACATAACGTATACACAAACATACATATGCACATACATGTACACATACACGTACATATATACATTCGTGTATATGTATGCACATACACATATGAATGTACACCATTATTGTCATACACGTGTACATGTACTCATACACATACATATACGAATGTATAATCATATGCAGTTACACGTGCATATTGGTTCTTATGCATATACCAATGCATACCATGCGCATACACATATACATATACAGTTAATTTCACATGCATTTACAACCACACATACACCTATGAGTATTCAGATGTATGTGAATATAGATGCGCATGTTTATGCAAGTGTATACGTATATGCATAGGTCGACCTATTTGTTTATTCTGTATGTTTACGTATATGTTCATGCAACTGTATACGTACATGTCTATTTACACCGACATGCATATACATAAGTCTATGCACATGTGTATGTGTGTGTGGGTGGATATGTGTATTGTGTATGCTTGTGTGTATATGTAGTTGCATGTGCATGTATCATGTATTTTCATATGTATTCGCGTTTGGGTATGTGTATGTATTCAAACATATGTGCATGTGTGTGTGTGTGGATGTACATGCTGTTATACACATGGGTGTATGCATATATGTGTTCATGCATATGCATATACATATGTACATCTAGATGTCCATGATATATGTATATGTATATGTATGTGTATATATATATATATATATATCAATTTGCATATTACTGGTTGACACGACGGGTCGCTGACCACTTGGGGCCCCATAGTTTCGCATAGTTCTCAGAATCAGCCTCGTGCACTCGTCGCTCTGATGCCCAATCCGTTCCACGAGGAGGAAGAGGAGGAGGAGGAGGAGGAGGTGGAGGAGGAGGAGGAGGAGGAGGATGACGAGGAGGAGAACGCAACAGCCCCGATGCTAATGTATGGCCAACGTCAACAAAAACAGGAGGTTGAGGAGGAAGAGGAGGAGGAAGAGGAGGGATAGGAGAGAGAGGGGTGGGAGACCACGGATCGATGCAGCGGTAATCAGGGTTGCAGAGTTTTCTGGATGTCTTTCTAGTGGCTTCACAGAGAGCTTGGGCATTCCAGGAGAGTGGTGTGACTTGGAGCAGAGTGATGGTGATGATCAGAAGGCAAAAGATGAGGAGGACGAGGGAAGAAGAGGAGGATCTTAACAGGATAAGGAGGAGTGGCAGGAAATGGATGAGGATGATCGTGGTAAGGGAGGAGGAGGAGGAGGAGGAGGAGGAGGAGGGGGAGGAGGAGAAGGAGGAGGAGGATGAGGTTGAGGTGGATACGAGACGATGAGGAACACGTGTTAAGACGATGATGGTGCTGTCGCCGACGATGATGACGACCACGACAATGAGTCGGAGGAGGAGAAGGAGAATGAGCAGGAAGAGGACGTGCCTCGTCTCCGCGCTGGACGCTCGCCCTTGCTGCTTCGTGCAGCCATTGCTCCGCCAGCAGGCGGCAACTTCTTTGCACTGACCCCGAGCTTCCAGCGGGACATCTCTCCGGCGTACCACGCCTACCACAAGGACGCGCCGGGAGGGATCTGTGGGCCGGGGACACCGAGAGAGGTGCCAGAATCTGGCGTGAAGCGCGCGCTGTGCGCAGAGCAGGCCAGCGACAGTCACGCCTTCGCCCGCGATTCCTCCCCGCCGAGCGCTTCGGAGTCGCGCCTCCGGAGTTCGGCACCGCCCAGCGGGCGTGGCAGTGCCCCGTGCCCACCGGCCTCCGTCGGGGACCTTGCCACCTGCCCCCCGCGCGCGGCGAGGGCGGCGCGCTGCGCGAGCACGCGCGCGCGGGCGCCCGCTCCGAAGGCCAGCCTGGGCGTGCGCCGTCTCTCGCGCAGCGGTGCTCGTCGTGGCCGCCCCGGCCTCTGCCGCGTCAGGGTGAGAATCTATGCGTCACCATCGCCCCAGGGATCGTTCTTCGGGGACCTCGGCAGGCGATGGACTTAGACCTGCCCCCTCCCCCCTCCCCCCTCCTCCCCCCCCCCTGGGGCCCAATTCTTGTCCAGATCCGCCGCCGCCGCCCCATCGGGTCCCGGGACATCGGTCCCCTAGGTGATGGACGTGGGTGACTCGATAGATCCCCGCCTCGCAGACTGCACGGACATCCGCGCGCAGGCGTAAGGCCGCCCGTGATCGCCCCCTTCCCCGCGCTGCGTGCCGCACCTGGCGGCCCTCGGCGGCCCGCGCAGGCCGTCGCGCGGGCTCGCCGCGTCCTCGCGCTCGAGGCCCCCGCCCCCCCCCGCTCCTTGCCCTGCGCCGCTCGGGGCGTGCTCTCTGCCAGGGGCCCGTGCGCCGTGGGCCCTCCTCCCGGGGGGGTCGGCGGGGAGGCTGCCCGGGGGCCCCGCCCGCCCCGAAAGGACGCCGGTCTTCCCGGATCCCCTCTCTCCTCCTTTCTCGGGGGTGGACAGACCTCCTACCCTGACACGTCGATCGAGGAATTGGCCGTTTTCGGTTCGCGAGAGGGCGTCGCGGCCGTCATTTTTGCGGGTCCAGGTCCGTCGGTTTCGGTCCCAGGCCGTTTTCACTACAGGGAGGTTCACTAAAGGGAGGTTTGTCCACCGCCGACTTTCCGCTTCGCCGCTCCCCTGCCCTGTCGTCCCCCCTCCCGTCGGATTCCCGCCCTCGCTCCGCGTTCTTCTCGGGGTCGTGCGAGGTGGCCCTGGGCCACGGTGCCCCGGTGCCCCCGGGGCCCTCGGGGTATCCTGACGGGTGCTCTGGGGGGAGGATGGGGGGGGGATCACGGGTGTCTGCGGTTTGTTCGGTGCGGCTGCATCGCAGTCGGCTGCGTTCCGTGGGCCGCCGGTTTCGGCTTCGGTTTTGGTGTCAGGTCGGTCGGTTTTCTTTTGGTGCCGCCGTGGACGTCTGTGGGCATGGGGTCTTGCTGGGTGACGGGGGGGAGGCCAGAGTTGGGGGGAGGCAGCACGGGGGGAGGCGAGGAGGTCAAGGATTGGACTGGAAGGGGGGGAGGGGGAGGGGAGGGGGTGGGCGAGGACACGGGGAAAAGAGAGGGAATGAGGAGGAGGACGAGGAGGAGGCGGATGATGATGATGATGATGATGATGATGATGATGATGATGATGATGATGATGATGATGATGATGATGATGATGCTGCTGCTGATGCTGATGCTGA